CATTTTTAAGTAATACACTAGCAAAAGTGTAATATCAAAAGTGACCGCATGGGAGAAATACATTTTAATTATGACTACCAAATTGGTAAGATATTTTTTTTAATGACTATTTGAGTGCATAGAAGCACTGACAAGAAATAACACACGAGAAAGATGTATTAGGAAAAAAATTAGATCTCTTGTAGCAGCATTGAAACTAAGAAATTATTTTAAATTTTTATTTTACATATATATAAGTATAAAAGGTACTATAAACTGTCTTTTGCATTTTTATTAAAAGTTACTATATACTGTCTTTTGCATTTTTATTAAAAGAAACATATTTCAATAGATAAAAAAACAAAAAGCTAGCTCTTTATGTAAAGTACTTTAAAAAGCTTGAAAATGTATTTGATAAAGCAATTGTACCTGGCTAATCAAAGTTACAATGTTCTCAAGTGATGCAAAGTGCGAACAAAGATGCTGTAACTAAACTTGTTTCAGTAAAGATGTTCTAGGAAGGTAATTTTTTAGGACAAGTCCTTTCGCTTGCAGTTAATAAATCATAACAAATAAACTAATAAGACAAAATAAAAAGATAGTGTATGATTGCAAAATACATCAAATAAAAAATTGCAAAACTTAAAAAGTTCTAAACTAAAAAAAGGATAATTATGTCAAATGACTTAACATAATTATATTTTTTAAACATAAGTATAAAAAAAATATTTTTTTAAACTTATGTTTTTGCAAGGTTTGCTAGAGGATGTAGCTTATGAAGCAATATAAATGGAGCAAGATGTAGCCAATGGTGTAATTAAAAAAAAGTTTGAAAATGAAGAGAATGAAAATCTAGCTAATGCCATTTTAATGATGCTATGTAAGATGTTTAAATCCTACATAAAACATCAAATCTGTGGACATCAAATTTGTGAAACATTATGAAACATCAAATTTGTGAAACGTCGTGGAACGTCGAATTTGTGAAAAGTCGTGGAGCATCAAATCGGTGATGCACAGCAAAACAATGGCTGTTGAGCTTCTTGATGAGAGAACCTTATTTTGGGTGATTTTGTTAAGAAAACTTTGCTATCTAAATTCTAAGGAGGTTAAAAAGAGAAATTTGGAAAGAAATGACTTGAAATGTTAATATCTTCTTTAATAAAAATTGTTAAATAAGAAAAAAAAAAAAAAAAATTTCAGAGCTGTGTATAAAGTTTTAGTTCTAACCAAAACAAAAAACTAATTTTTTTTAAAAAAAAAATACTTTTTACTAGGTTTACAAAAACATTGAAAAAAGTCCGATTAGATTAATTTATAATTTACTTCTTTTTTTTTTGTTATTCACTTCCTCAAGGCCAGGAAGGCCACTACAGAGGAGGAGACTTAGGAGGAAGGCCACTACAGAGGAGGAGGTTACTTAATAGTATTTACTTTGCCTTTTATTCACTCTTACTTTTCACTCTTATTAGTTACTAGCCTTTTATTCACTCTTAGCAACAATAACCGCCATACATATTCTTGGCATTCTACTTATTAACAATTTATCTAATTTGTCGAAGTCAATTTTATGCCACTAATTAATAAGTTTTATCCACACCTTATGCATCATTTGGCATTAGTTTTTGACATTACTTTTAATTCCAGCCATTAAAATCCAATAGGAGAGAGATCTTGTGATTGGGGAGTCTAAATCATTTTATTTAACATTTGATCGTTCTCGAACTTAGTCAAATAACTTAAACAAGTTTTTGAAAAATACGTTTTAGATTTAAGCTTAAAGTCATTTTCTTTTGAAAAAATAAAGAGCTACTTATTAACCCATCTTTCCGAAGATGTAGCACAATTTTTTAAGTGTACAAGTAAACTACTTTTGTCATTACTCCCTCTATTTTCAGTCACTTGTGGCATTCTAACCAAAACACCTTAACACTGAACCTACAATGTTTTACAGTCAATAATACACATTATTTCATCACAAATTGAACAACCTTTTTTCTAGACAAACAATCATATTTTGAAACCAAAGACTCAAAACCTCAACACATCGGTCCGCGTTTGCAGTCACCGATGGTCAATCTTGCAGTTTTGCTAATTTTAGCATTTTTAAGATTTTTATCAAAGCATTTTAACCAAAATACTTTTAAATTACTTAATAGTGCAAAAATAAACATAAAAAATAGTTAAATAAAAAATAGCATTTTTAAAAAAAAAGTTAATGCCATTCGAATAATTATGAACAGTAGTGTATATGCTTATATTAGGAATCAATACCTTAAAAGGTATTGATTCTCAACATAAGCAGCTATTATTCTCAGTTATTTCCTGATCACATGATAATGTGGAGATTACAAAGCGGTAAAGTTGAAAAATTGAACTATACAAATGTGACATTCCAATCTTCAGTTTATATTGTTAAGGTCAATAATTTAACTTGTAAAAGTTATATTGCCCTTGCAATTTATTAAAAATGAGAAAAATATTAACACTCTCAAGCTTTATATGCAAATTGGTTATGCTTGGTCACACTTCTCGATCTGTAGCCAAATCAGGTCAGGACTTTCTTGTCGTAAACAGGGCAAGACTCTCTTATGTTGGAAAATAAATGTCTCAAACTAAAATTCTTCACATCACCTGCTATTATTTTATTAGGTTAATTTGTATATATTCAAATACTTTATTTACAAATTTTGCTTATCTTGTGATATAGGATAATTATTGTTAACACATTACATTAAAAACAGTATTTTGTCTTAAAAAGTTAAAATGCTTGGTTAGGTTGTATTCTATGTGTATTAGGTGGTTGAGTTGTATTATTCAGTTGGAATAACTTTGAGTTGTATTATTTAGTTGTATAATTTAGTTGAAAGCTTTAAATATAATTTTCAGATGGAATAAACAAACTAAAGCAGAGAAGTTGGCAACACCTTTTTATAAAAAGATTAATTCAACTGATTGCATAATTGACGCAACTAATGATACGAGACAATAAAGATGATGATTCAAAAGACAACACTCAACTAATTTTAAAGAAGTTGACTTTTAAAACGGTAATTAGATTGTTGTTGCCAAAATTATGCAATGCTAACAATAATTAGAAATGGAAAAAAAAAGAGTTGTAATACTAAAAAACTGTTTTTTGAGTATTGATATCTATTTTATGGATATAAAAAATGATTGATTTTTTTATTATATATTATTTTATGCAGATTTTATGAGAAACTACTAACCACTTCTAAAGCATTAAAGATTAGAAATATACCAGAAGTACATAAAATAGAGGATTCAATCATGACTTATTGACAAATAGATGATTTGATATGTAAGTCCCGGGCCTAGCATGTGACTTATAGCATTTGCAAAGCAAAGGATATTAGCCTTCAACATTTGAAGTTGAACTTATTTCAAGTCAAAATAATTTCAAAAAGAGCAAGTGAGTTCAAAAATTTTAAAAAGTGAATTTTGCAAAAGTAAAAATTCAACAGATAAAAAGTTACTTTGTAGACCACAAATATTTTTAAAATATAGTTATAAACAATTTTTAATAAATTTTTTACTATTTTTTTTAAGATATTTTTACTTTTATACTTTTACATTTTCAGAGGAATTTTTATACAAACTGTGTGATTTATCGAGCTTGCATAGAGCTTCTGCAGCTTTTATCGAGCTTGCATAGAGCTTCTGCAGCTTTTATCGAGCTTGCATAGAGCTTCTGCAGCTTTTATCGAGCTTGCATAGAGCTTCTGCAGCTTTTATCGAGCTTGCATAGAGCTTCTGCAGCTTTTATATAGGTTTTCAAGCAGTTATATCTTGACATAAATCTTCCTGTTGTTTTTTTGAAATAGCTTGAAACTTTTCGCAATATTAAATTCATTAAAATATTTTTTATATATCATATATAATATTTTTATATCATTTTAATATATATATATATATATATATATATATATATATATATATATATATATATATATATATATATATATATATATATATATATATATATATATATATATATATATATATATACATATTAATAATAATAATAATTGTCACAATCCCAAGAATACACCTTTTTTAATTCATAAGGTAGTTATGTGTTAAAAAATTAATCCAAAAACAAACAACAGATTAAGAATCAGGTGCAAACGCGATTTTATAACAACTAGAAAGCTACAAAAGAAAACTTTAGAATGTTCAGAATAAAACTTAATATATATATATATATATATATATATATATATATATATATATATATATATATATATATATATATATATATATATATATATATATATATATATATATATATATATATATATATATATATATATATATATATATATATATCGCCTTAAACATTAAAAAAAAATCAAAAGCAATTTATGCATGAATAAACAAAAAAAATCAAAAGTTAAAGAAGGAATTAACGCATTAAATCTAAACGTCTGTTTGCAAATTTAGAGACCCCCAAAAATTTTAGAGGACCTTTTTTTTTTTTTTTATTAGTCATTTTTGGGCTCTGGCCCATAAAAAGGTCTCCAAAAACAAAAATAGCTCCGGGCCCCAAGAAGTCTTAATCTGCCACTGGGTAATATCACCAGCTACCTTAGTTTTTACAAAATCGCTACCATATATTTATAGGTTTGGAGTTAAGCAGTTTTAAACATGCATAAATGTAGCTGAAAATATGCTTTACAAATTTTGATAATCAGTGTTAAAATAAAGCTTATACCTTAAAGCTTAAAGAGTTGTAAAAAAAAAAAAAAGTACGCTCTTTTTTTAGAGCGTATTCTAAAAACCGGAACAAACTTTAATTTTTATTGCAACAGAAATGTGTTTAGCAATGCAACAAAAATGTGTTTAGCAATGCAACAAAAATGTGTTTAGCAATGGTAAAAAATGTGTATAGCAATGCAACAAAAATGTGTTTAGCAATGCAACAAAAATGTGTTTAGCAATGGTAAAACAACTAATAATGAGTCTTTAATGGCCATTACACGCAACTAAAAATTTAGTCGGAATTCATCACTCAAGATGGCAGCACAATTTACGTACCTCCAATAGTATTTAGTAGAGAGACTAATTGTGGTCAACGTTTTGAGGATCCTTAAAACGTCAAATTAAAGATGGATAATACTTGAACTTCGCCGAATTCAAGTCAAAATGTTTGTCCAAATCCAATATGTTCTTTATTAAAATCAAGCCAAAAAAGGTATATTATTGTGTAAGATTTTTCAACATATAACTTTATTAAAAAGTTATTAATTTTTAATTTAACTATTAGTTATTGAGATTTATTTCTTATAAATTGTAGTTGTTGACTCTTAGTGACACTAATTGTGGTTACATCTAGTGAAATATATTACTAAAATTATAATATAATGTTAGTAATGTATTTCACTAGTTGTGACCAAAATTAGTGTCTCTACGAGTCAAAAACTGTCGAAAACTAATAAAGTACTTCTAATATAAAGTAACAGAAAAATATTTTAAATGACAGTGAATTATTTTATACCAGTGAAATTCATTTTATTGTTAATATTATCAATATTTTTGCCCAACTTAGTAGAGATATTACAAATTTACTAAGTAATATATTTGTTTCATTGATGTAATAAAATTGTGATAATATTTTACGCAAATATAATTATATATTGCATTATATATATAAATTATAGAATTATATATCAATTATAAATATATAATTTATATAAATTGTATTTAGTACAAATACAATTTGTAAATATCAAGTTGTTGACAAGTTTACTTAAATAAATCAATAGTTTTATTTATAACATGTTGACTATGATTTTTTTTCTCCCTGGAAAACAAGTTATCAATGCTTACATTAATCTGTCAACAACTTGTAATCAGGACTTAACTCGAATTAGCATATATATTAATTAATTGATTTTATTTAGAACATGCATGCATTGGAATATCGAAAAAGATTTAATGATGATAAAGGATGTGATTAATTGATTTTATTTAGAACATGCATGCAATGGAATATCGAAAAAGATTTAATGATGATGAAGGATGAAACTTTAGGAGTTTTAATTCAAAAACCTGGAAGTAAAGAGATATGGTAGCAGGTTTCTGATTTGTTAAACAAAAACGGTTTCTATGTTACAAAGAGAGGTATGAGATCGATTATCTAATAATATGAAAAAGCATCGTGCTCAGGCGAACAAGGAAAAAAAACTTTCTGGTGAAGGTGGAGAAGAAATAACTGAATACGATATTTTGGTTGAAGAATTAATTGAAATCAGTGATGACTCAGTGATGTTCAGAAATCAGTGATGACACAGATGTTCAGAAATCAGTGATGACACAGATGTTCAGAAATCAGTGATGACACAGATGTTCAGAAATCAGTGATGACACAGATGTTCAGAAATCAGCGATGACACAGATGTTCAGAAAGATGAAAAATCTCAAGAAAAAGATGAAGATCGTATGAAAGCTTTAGATAAAAGAAATAATACTAAGAGTTCTTGCTCAGCAACAACAAAATAATATAAAAAGTATGTTTAATCATATGTTAGCTCAACAAACAGAAATATTAAAAATGTTATTAGAAAAAAGAAATTAGTTTTTACTTTTAATAAACTATAGTTTTTTGAACAGAGCTATTATGTTAGCATTTTTTTGGAATAAATAATTCTTTATGTTACAACCTTTTTATATTTTAAAGAATCATGAAAGTTTAGCAATATTTTAAAGAATCATGAAAGTTTAGCAATATTTTAAAGAATCATGAAAGTTTATTTTCAATAATCTATAAGATTATAACAGGCATAATTTTTCAATAAGTTAAGTATCAGTATGATAGAAGCATCAGTATGATTTCATATCGATACCAAAATAATCTGAAACAATGTTCCCATAAAGACAAGTGGGTGCATTTTGTATTAATAAACATACAATATATACTTTTCCAATGGGACTTGAGCCAAGTTTTTGAGACTGTTTAAAATCTATGAATTTAAATAATTTGTTATTAAACCAAATACCCACTCAACACTAACACGATGCGCACTCATAGTTTTGTTATTAAATGCATGTTAAATGCACCATACAGAAGTTTGAATGTTACCCTAGACATAGCAAACATAAAGGACGCCCATCATGCCATGCAAACTGTTGCAGTAAACCAGATTTGCATAGCATAGTGCTATCATGTTTTTTACCCTCAAACGGACCAGGTAAGTTTGCTATCATACCATTTGGAACTACTACACTTTGAAATTTTAGTGCGCGAACTCTCTTATGACCATTATAGACAATATTTGATTTGTTTTAGGCCTAGCAATTCTATTAACAGTTCCACCGATAAAACCAAAAGTTATCTAGGGGTGCCCCTATTCGATGGATATAATCAGCAAACTGTCGTAGATTGTTGGATTGTAACATTGGTTGATCCCAAAGTAATAGTTTATGACTAAGCACATTGTAAACATGATCAATTACTGTGTTAAATATTAGACAAGTTTCTGTAGGGTTCCTATCAAATGTATTTTCCAAATCAGTATAGCGACATGGAAGTGCTAATCTTTTAAGCATAATGCATAAGGCTTCTATTTCTCAACAGAATGTTTCTTAAGTGCATTTTATTATATCAGGTAATCTGAAAATAATAAGCAAATGTGATAAGTGAGTTTTTCGAAAACGTAGATCAGTCCAACACTGTGCGTCATCTAACAACGACAGGTTAAACTTATTGTAGTCCCAGTAAAGATATATATATCTTGAATAGCTTAGTTGATAGAGTAGTGCGAATTCACAATCATCTATTATGTTCTCTGATGATTTACAATCATCTATTATGTATATATCATATATAATAATCATATATGTATATCATAATAATCATATATAATAATCATATATGTATAATCATATATTATGTATAATATCTATTATGTTCTCTGAATATAGTCATATTTTAACTTAATATTATTTTATTTGAACTATTACTTTTATATATATATATATATATATATATATATATATATATATATATATATATATATATATATATATATATATATATATATATATATATATACAGTTTAAAAAAAAAATAACACTAATTTAAATAAAACAAAAAACTTGATAAAATTTAATTTATTTTATTTTTATACAACGTCGCATTTTTTTAGACAAAAAAAGTTGATGGACTTGAGATTTTGATTATTGATAAAAATTCTCAATTCTTATGAATAATCAAAATCTCAAGTCCACGTTCTGGTTTATTTCAAAATCTCAAGTCCACGTTCTGGTTTATTTCAAAATCTCAAGTCCACGTTCTGGTTTGTTTCAAAATCAGAGTAAAAATAAAATGAGACAACAAGAACGTGGTTTTACAACGGCGTTCTATAATACGTCCGCGTCTCAGTTTTCAAATCAACCTATTCTATTTGACGTAACTTACGTGCAAAATAGTGTTGCAATAGCTCATTTGAAAAATAATACTTGATTTTATTAAATTATGCAATAAAAAGTTTTCAAAATTAACTTTATGCTTATTAGTTACACAAAAAATATTAAAAAAAAAAAAAAATTTTAAAAAAAAGCTTTTTATTTTGCAACTAAGAAGAATAAGGCATGATAATTATAGAAAAATATATAAATTTTATTAACGCTGAATGTTTAAGCTATAAACTGGTATTTAATGATGTAATTTTTGAGAATGCATTTTTTTTTTACTTTTGTACACCACTGCCCTTTTTTTTCGTAATGTATGTAATGCTTCTTCTTCGAAAAAATTACTAAAATGTAATCACGTACCAGATTACATTTTAGTAATTTTAAAAAACTCTATTTTATGTTACGTTAAAAAGAAAACTAATAAAATTTATAAAATAATCATTAAACGGAAAATAAAACAAAAAGATGCTTAATATTTATACAAAAACAGTGCTTAAACAATACAAAAATAGGTGCTAAATATTTATACAAAACTATATTTTATTACAATGAGAGTTTAAGAGAAGTTAAGAGAGTTTGTAAAATATAACCCGCACTCTTACAAATACGGGTTCCGGTTTTATAACGAAGCAAGTTCGAAAAAAAATACGAGTAACTGTTTTTGACTTTAAAGCAGCGCATCAACAGCGCATCAACTGGCCTCCTTAAAATTGAACGTATCATTTACAAATCATAAAAATCGCCGTAAGATTGAGTATACTGTTTACAAATCATAAAATATGAATAGAAAATTAATTTGAAAAAATTATTTTTTACGACAAACTCTTTTTTAAAACTTTTTGCTACGATAGAGGCGATCGGCAACCTTATTTTCTTTAACGTTAGATTCCTGATTTCGCAACAAAAAACTTTTTTTTTATAAAATTTAATAGACATTCTAAAACGATAACAGTAATTTGACATATTTTACAACACAACTACTTTAATTCTCAAAGTGAAAATAAGATCAGATTTTTTTTTCATCGGAGAAGTAAAAAACAAATTATAAAGCAAAAAATATAACCATTTATTTTGAAGCTGTAATTTAGTAGGAAAGAAATAAATCTGGTTAATTACAGATAAATATATAAAATCGCAACTTTCTTACATTAAAGACACAAAACATAAAAAAAGTACAATAAATATATAAAATAGCAACTTTTAAGTAAGAAAAGACACTAAACATAATAAAAGTACAATAGATATATAAAATCGCAACTTTCTTTCAACTAAGACACAAAACATAATAAAAGTAACAATAAATATATAAAACAGCAATTTTCAACTAAGTGAAGACAAAGAAATAATAAAAGTAACAATAAAAAGCAAAAGCAAACATTAAAAAAATTTGAAATTTTAGGTTTTTTATTTATATTTCTATGAATAATTGTAAATGCTAACTATTTTTTAAAATATGCAAACTTAGTGATTACATTTTGAAGTAAATTGTTAAACACATGTTGCTAAGATCCTCGTTTTAAAAACCAATAATTATACACCTTATGTTTACTGTGATCTTCCCCATTTTAGAATTCCAAAATATTTTATATGTATTTTTTAATGATTTAATTTTGCAAACCATTGTATATGTGCTGTTTAGATCCTTGTTTTAATATTTCTTCGATAGCTTAAAAGAAAAAAATTAAAGACATTACAAATATAAAATATAACGGTATAATATAAAATGAACATATATTTTGTAAAAAATAATGCAGGAGTATTTGTAAAAAAAAAAATAATGCAGAAGTATTACAGAATTTAACTATAAGATTAAGTTTTTATAATATACTTTTAAAAGTAGAAAAAAGTAACAAAATTTTAAAATTTTGACTAGTTTTTAAGGATTAATGAAATCACATTGCGAAGAGCAAAGTGCTATGTTGACTCTAGTGACGACCAAAGCGAAAAAATATTTAACTTGCTTCTTTTTGGCTAGTCAAGTTTTGTGTTAGTGTTATATAAAATCATTAAAAACAAAAAGTAAAATAATGCATCCTTTATTTTATATTGTAACTTTTAGATATAAATACTAGTGGAAAATAAAATAATGAATATCACTTGGATTAAATGCTGAACAATGGAATTATTTACGAAATTATTTCACATAAACTAATATAATCAATGTTTTTTATAGATTTTTAGCAACTTTAATAACCATATATCAGGATAGATTAATATCCAGTCCATAATTTATATATAACTTTTAGTGAAATATATCGACGATAAAACAATGGATGTTAGGGATGAAAATAATTAAATACACATACATTTCAATATCCTAGTTGAAACAAGGATATTGAAAACTACACGTATATTCAAGTAACTAAAAAACAACGTCAAAACGGCTAAAATCTCAAATTTAATTTAAATAGTAAAAGACTTTTTACACAATAGAATGACAATTGCAAAAATTAGTTTAAGAAAAATAATGTTTTTTGGATATTCCAATGTATATTATAGAAAACAAGAAACATTTTGTTTATGAAAATTTTAAATACTTATAAAATGTATCTTAACATTTTTTATCCTTTTAACTTTAATATTTTTATTTTTTCAGCTTTTTAGTTTTTTAGGAAGAATCTGTTCTATTTGTTTCTATTTGTTAGAATTTAAGAACTAAATATTGAACACCTGAAAATATAAAACAAAAAAAAAATTACCTGTTTTATCTTGTGGTGAAAGTTCACCTTTTGGAAAGTTGATATCAAAAGTGATTATTAATTGTCCTTTTTGATTGTTATTATAATAATTTGGCATTCCTTCACCACTTTTTTTAACCTTTGCACCAGGCCATGTAATTTTATCACGTTGAACTTTGACAATATGTCCATCTAAATGTTTTATCTCCATACTGAAGCCATTAAGAGCATCTACAAGGTTAATTGTAATGTTGGTATACAGATCATCACCACGTCGTTCAAATATTTTGTGTCTAAAAAATTAAGTATAAAATAAAATATTAAAGTTTTAATAAAAAAAAGAAAAAAAATTTAAATACTTTAATTCTTTATAAATGTAACACTGTTCGCAAAATATACATACATACACACATACATACATACATACATACACATACATTACACATACATACATACATACATACATACATACACACATACATACATACATAAATACATACATACATACATACATACATACATACATACATACATACATACATACATACATACATACATACATACATACATACATACATACATACATCACATGAATTTATATAGACATTACAATCATCAAATATAAAATAAAATCTTAAAAAGTTTTAATAAAAAAAAGAAAAAAAAATTTAAATACTTCAATTCTTTGATTTTGAAAATTAAATCACCAGGCTCACCATCAATATGAGGCTCTCCTATAAATAGAAAATTAGAATTGTTTTAAAACAATAAAAAAAAAACTAATAAAAACATTTAAAACTATTAAACCTTCTCCAATGAATGGATATTCTTGTCCATTGCTCATTCCTTGTTCAATTTCAATTTCAAGTACTTGGTCTTTTACAATAAACTTTTTGTTAGGGCACTCATCGCAAACTTCTTCCTGCATCATCTGAAATCTACCAGGTCCAAGTTGATGAGTTCTCATTTCCATATGGCAATTACAGCGCCGAGTACCGGAAGTGGTTTCAGCCACAGGCTTTGCACGTAATATCTTAAATGTTTATTATTATTGAAATAATAAAAATATGAAATAAAAGTGAATTTGAATAAGGCATTTAACTAATACTATATCTTTGAAACTTAAATTTCATCACAATTAACTTTTTTTTAATGATTTTTAAAACTATTTTTATGTCTTGTTCTAAAAAGAGAAACAATTGCTAAATTACATCACAAAATTATTTAAATAATAAAATTATAAACCTCAACAAAATCTCCTGTATATAATTCTTCAAGTGTTACTTCTAAATCCATAGTAACAGTTGCACCCTTTGGTATTTCTTTTTGACTTTTTTGATTTCCTCCACCAAAACCAAAACCTCCAAAACCGCCAAAAAATCTTTAACCAATAATAATAAGATTTAACTTTAATAACTAAAACTATACAACAACAAATATTTAAGTTGCATCTCAAATTTATAAAAAAATATTTTTAACTTACGACTCAAATGGATCAAAACCACCACCTTGAAATCCACCCATTTTTTTAACACCCTCTTCTCCATGTTGGTCATATGTTTTTTTTTTTTCTTCATCAGATAAAACCTGTTATTTATGTGTTAAGTTGTTTATGAATGAAGCTTTTTTGTTAAACATTTATATAAAATTTATTAAAAACCAATGTACATGAAATATACATAGAAGGTAATAATTCATATATAAATATCAACCCTCGGAATTAGTGTTGGCATTTGGCAATGCCGACCTAACTGCCAACCTTAAAGTGTTTGAGGTTGGCAAAAAATTGCCGACCTCGTTTCTATGTTTTATGGTTAATTTTTTTTACTGACCTGATGATAACCTTGAGCAGATTAATTATTGCCAACCTCATTTTTCCTTTTCGAGGGTTGATAGATATATATATATTGCATTGATATATATATATATATATATATATATCAATGCAATATATATATATCCCAATCAACTTTGTATTTCGTAAAATTAATAGAATTGTTGTAAAGTTTAACACCCATAGTTTCACACTTGTGTGGTTTGTATAGTTCATCAAACCAAATTTCTGTCACTAAATTTCAAATTTTTAGTTTGATTGACAAAAAATCTACTTTTTGTTTGATTGAAAAATAATCAATTTTTGTTTCAAATAAGGAGCTTCATTATAAATCAAACAATTTAGACATAGTTGATTAAAAAATAAGAAGCTTCATTATAAATCAAACAATTTAGACATAGTTGATTAAAAAATAAGGAGCATCATTATAAATCAAACAATTTAGACATAGTTGATTAAAAAATAAGGAGCTTCATTATAAATCAAACAATTTAGACATAGTTGATTAAAAAATAAGGAGCTTCATTATAAATCAAACAATTCAGACATAGTTGATTAAAAAATAAGGAGCTTCATTATAAATCAAACAATCTAGACATAGTTGATTAAAAAATAAGGAGCTTTATTATAAATCAAACAATTTAGACATAGTTGATTAAAAAATAAGGAGCTTCATTATAAATCAAAAAATTTAGACATAGTTGATTAAAAAATAAGAGTAAAAGTTTAAGAAAAAAAAAAAAAGATGAAAAACTAAAATTAAAATAAAAATTTAATAAGATGATAATAGATGACAGGTAAAAAATGAAAAAGCTAATCAATGACAAACCCAGCTACTAAACAATAACAAGTTCTACTAAATAATGATAAAACTATAAAATTGCTTTAAAAAAATGCTATAAAATACTTTTTGAAAAAAAGTCTATTAAATAAAAGGAATTGAAATTTTTTTAACTAAGGAGCTATTCTTTTTTCTTTAATTTCTTTCACCTCCCCAAGGCCAAGAGTTCCACTATAGGTAAAGAGGCTACTCTTATCAAGAAATGTTCTAAACACTATTAATCACTATTTACTAAAAAAAAAAAACTAGACTTGAAAAAACTAGAAAGTCAAATTATATTTCAAATGCAGTTATTTGTTTTTTATTTTAAACGCAGTTATTTGTTTTTATACAAATTTTTTTTTTCCGAACGCAGTTATTTGTTTTTATACTTACTTAGTTACATTTTAAAAAAGAAAAAAAAAAAATTTTTTTTATTTATTCCACAAGAGTGTGCTAACCTGTTTATTTGATAGTAAAATTCCACAGAAAAACAATACAATTATTTAAACCTCATAAGCAGCTCCAAGATCTTGAAACTTTTCTTGTGCTTTTGGATCATCAGGATTTTTGTCTGGATGCCATTTCATTGCCAGTTTTCTATAAGCTTTTTTAATATCTCTGACACTAGCATTACGACTGACGCCTAATATCTTGTAGAAATCTCTCCTAAAAAAATTTATTTTTTAAATTGATGAGGTTATTTAAAACTTTTTAGTATAACTTCAATCACAGATGTTTTGATAGAAAACATTGATGTAACATTATAGACAAGTTAAGTAAGGTTTGATGGTTTTTCAAAACTGGTTTTAAAAAATCTGTTTTTATAATAAATTTGACACATTTAAAAACCCATTTTAAAATTTTAAAACCACTTTTTTAGTTATAAGGGCTGGATTTTTTTTAGGTCGACAAGGATGCGGTAAAAGACCTCAAGAATTTGGGGGCTCGAAATTGGTTTGATAAATATTTCAAATTTCTAGAGTTTTTAGAGTTATTGTTAAAAAAATTTCATGATTGCAAGGATTGCACATTAATTCCCCTTTACACAATTATTAAGGTTTTGTAAAATCCTATTTGCACATTCATCACCGGACTAAAATTTGCTTCGAAATTAATTCCACACAAAGGAACTCTAGAATGAATGTAAAAAGCTGCAACATTTTACTAAAGAATTGAAGATACAAGAACAAATAATGAACAGTTCTAAACTATACAAACTATATAATAGTTTTTCATTCAAAATATATTTGAGGGCTCTGAAAATTGATTTGGCTTAGGACCCCCGAAGCTGTAAATATAGCACCGTTCAGTGGATGTTTTATATTTTTTTAAATCCTATTTCAGGCCTTGGCATGAAGCGGAAGTGATTGCTCTCGTCACATGAAACACGCTCATTAATGGAATATTTATAAATTGCGGGCGCAATAAAAAATACTCGCTAATTTAGTTACAAGAGTAAAAAATCGCGCTCGTCCTAAAAATTTGGATGGGAGAAAACTAATAATGGTTAACTTGATTTTATATTAAATTTTTTTTATAAAAAGTTTTTGCTAAAAATTCTTGTTTAGTTAAACAAAAAAGTTTGCTTATTGTTAAAAACAAAATACTCTTTATTCACATATCTTTAATTGTGTTTTTTTAACTGAGGTAAAATGTTAAAGTTATACTTTAATTAAAAAACTCATTTTTTCATGTTAACTTAGGGGTCGTCCATAATGTACGTACACTTTTTTATCATTGAACCCCCACTTTTTGCATTTTTTTTTAATACCCTCCACCTCCCTAAAAGTACCTATGCTTTTAACCTATTTATCTAACATTTTATGATATTTTTTTAAATTTAATGTCTCCTTCCTTTTATAATTGACCCATTGCCCTCCTATCTCATATACGCCATTTGCAGACCCCCTCTTCCCCTCTGAGCCTGCATATTCCACAAAAAGAGCGCAAATTTCCACAAACAATGAATAGTGATTTGTGAATGAGACTTCTTTATATAAAATGTTTACAGCAAACATTTAACAAAATTAAATAAAATTTTATTTATTTATATAAGTTTTTTAATAATATTAAATTGTGTAATAAATACAAATTAATTATGAGAAATGCTGTTAATTTAATTTTGTAAAAGCATTTACTAAAAACCATAAGTATAATAATAAAAGTTTTCACTATTCACATATTTTTAATTGCGTTTTGGCAGTCAGAGTAAAAAAACTTGTTTTCTAAATATTAACCTACGTCATTCTGTAAATTAGAGCATTAGAAATGTTTTCTGACAAAATTTAACTAAATTTAAAAAGCTTTTGTTATTAGAATTATAAATTTATTTGAGAAAAAGAAAAGTTTAAGTTTTTAAAAAGGTTTGCTAAAAAAGTTATAAAAGTTCAACGAAAATACATTACAACCTTTTTTTTTTTATTATTTTAAAAAGAATATTGAAAGAAAAAAAAACGGTCTGAAAAAGATTATACTTCATTATTTCCTTTTCCTTACGTAAACTAAAATAGCAAGCTAAAGATCAAAAGTTCATTCATTTAAAAATTAAATTTGCACGATAGTTACAAGGAGTTATTTTTTTTACTTTTGTTCATTTATTATTAAAAGCAGTTTACTCTTAATTGCCAAAAAGAAAAATTAACCTTTCGCTGAATGGATATTTAAAAACGCTTTAACTTTCAAAAAAGCAAATCTTATATACATTCGATTGTTATAAAATTTTGCAACGTGGTTTTAAAATTAAGTTTCTTAATGACTTTCATTTTTTTAAAAGTTATGTCCAGTTAATAACCGAAGGCAAATTACTCACGTAGTTATGTAAAAAAGCAATTTCTTTTTAATTCTGTAAAAGAAAGAGGTAGCTAAATTAAACTGAGAATTATTTATATACTACTGCATTTAAAACTAATTTTTTTTCTTTCTATTTTTTATAAAAAATTAAAAGCAAAATTAAAAATAAAAATAATTTTTGGGCGCTTTTTTTTGGGCACCCATACCGGTAAAACGGTACTAAAACACGTCTGGGTTCTTCACTGAAAGTAAATCGCGGATGAACTAGCACCCGTGCCTGAGGTCACGACATATATAGCAAGTTATTAGATTTAAAGAAAAGTTTCTAGATATTGGTTTACTAACTCTAATTATATTCGCTTCAGTTGCCATCCTTAAAAACTCGTTATACTTTTTTCTTTAAATACTAATTAAAATACAAAAGCCCACTCACTAAACAAAATCAGCGATATTGTGAAGCAGTTTCGCTTCCTCGTCATAAAATATTTTTAACCTTTTTAGTTGATTTCTATCTAGTTTATTTAATTTCTATAGTAACTCAATGACTTATTTGTTTCATTTGTTCACACGCGAAGCATAAAATAAGTATTAAAAAAATTAACTTTTTTATTTATAAAATAATTTAGCTTAGATAAAACTAAAACTTACACTAGTTTTATTAGAATCTTGTTAGACTTTTCGGGGCCAGGGCTGTTTTTATTTTGGATGGCTTTTTATGTGCCACAGAATAAAAATGACTAAACAAAAAGGTCTTCTTGACTTTTTTAAGGGCCCTAACATTGCGCCCCGGGACTAAAGCCCCCTCTAAACCCAACCCTTTTTAATCTAGCACTGGAAATAAAACACAAGTATATAAATAAAAATTATATTACACTTTTTGTTAAATAAAGAACATATAAAAGAGTGATGTTTCGAAAATATTTGTTCTAAATGTAATTTATTTTGCTTTACGTCTTTTTGCGTTAAAAGATATTTTATTTTCATAATTTATTTTTTTTTGTAATTGTCTTCATCGGTCCAATTAATCTTGGCACATTTTTTTTTTTTTTGCTTTTTGAAATGTTCTCAAAATGACTTAAAAATTTGGCCAGCTTTTCACAACTAAATATTATTTCCGTGTTCAGTAATCGAGAGCGATTGCTCACGCTTCCCGACCAAGCCTGTTCAAGTGGAAAACTTGAAAATTCGATTTTAGATTTGCCCCTCACTTGATAATTTTAGACATATTTTATGCAAATAGCATAAAAGTAGCCTACTCGACTGTAGTAGCCTTTATGCCATTGCGAAGGTGAATTGAAATATACAGGCAGCAGAATATTTCTGGTTCTTCTCATTGGTACAGTCTGAATGAGAATCAATTACTTATTTTATTACAACCAATATTATTAGAATCAAATCACAAGCAATGATCTGTTATTAGATTCTTGTAAAACAAATAAAACTGAACAATACATATGTGATAACGTAACTGGAATCTACTTATCACAAACCTGAATGACTATCACAATGCACCCCTCTCACAAACCGCAAAAATGTACAATTTTTATTACAGAATGAGAGCGCCACAAGAATTTCATGCTTCAAATGATACATCAAACAGTTCGATAATAAAACCTAAAATTTTCCAAAAGTTGTCTGATGTATTGATAATTTTTTACTTTTGAATAATGATATTTAATCTTCATTTTGTCATGCTTGGACAATGAATGAATTGTTTTTATTCCTGAAAAAATTAATTTTTTTTGGACAATATTGAGTTTGCAGGATTTGAGTTAATGATGACAGGATAAACCTAAAAATTTTATACACAACTAAACTTAAAATAATTGAATTAATAAAAGAGGGTAATACAAGCATTTAATATTATTCCTCGAATTCATTTATCTAAGGATTGGAGCCAGGTATTGGTTTTATACTGCCACAAATACTCTCATATCAAACATCCACTATGCAGCCTAACTCATGGGAAAATTATTTATGCTGGTTATTGATTTACAAAAGCTGCTGAAAGTCAATGCACTCCCATTAAAGATGAATCTTTAGCATATATTTTATATGGTTTAGAAAGTTGCAAAATAATTGTTATAGAAAATCCTAACCTAATTGTTGCAGTTGACCACTATACACTACTAGTAAAAGTATATAATAATCAAAATCTAGATGAGATAAAGAATCCTTGAATCCTTATTTGTGAGAAAATCCTTGAATCCTATTATTTGAAAAAAAACATCTATGTATAACTTCAAAGTCATTTCTATTGAAATGAGTTTGAAGAAACATCTGATATAGCAAGCAACCTCAACACATCTTTAAGAATTTTGAATTTAAAATTCATCAGTTAAAGCATTTCATTGAAAATTTCAGTAAAAAAAAGGTAATTGTAAGTTTCATACAGAATAATAATGATAAAATTTATAATTAAATTATAAGATTAGAAATTCTAAGGAAATTGAATAGTTAAAAGTTTATAATAGTTGTAATTTTATATTAGTTATAATTTTATATTAGTTTTAATTTTTATGATAATTTCATTGCTAATCTTTAAATTAGGATGTGAATAAAATCTATTATTATTAGGTAGGGTTCAAAAAACCAAATAATAAAATCTACTATTTTTATTAGATAGGGTTCAAATATTTTTAAATAATGTGTTTTAAAACATTGTAAACTCAAAATAGTTTGTTATCAGATTTTGGATAAAGTTCAAGAATTTCCAATTCTGCAAGACTAGGCCTTGCTTTAAACCATTATTTTCATACGCCTAAAGCAATTTTGGTTAAGTGACTTTTTATCATTTTTTAACTTTTAAATTAGTCAAAAGTATTTACTTTTACAATTAGTAACTATTAAATTAATTAAAAGTAATTAATTTTATA